GCGGTCCGTAACTTTCTCTTTTTCTGTATGATCTGTAATTGCATATTTTCACCCATGTTCTTACGAGGGAAATATTTACCTTCTGTCACTCTCTTGGATGTTTTAGATATGTAATGCTGTTCTTGCAGCAAGAATCATGAATGCTACACTTGTGCTGCCTGAATTGGATGCAAACTCTTTTTGGCATGATGACAGGTATCTATTTTCTATGGTTGTCTGACCCTTATTTCACATATATACATTTTTTTCACCTCTTCAAATTTCAATTTTTATATAGAATTTAACTTTTATTTTCTGATTGAGGCTATTCAACCAAGAGAGACGAGATAGAGTAGATAGAATTGTGACAAACATGTAGCCACATGATAGATGTGTCACACAGAGGAATTGGAAGATGTTTTCAGATAGAACTTGTTGCTGTAATACATTACTTCTCTTCTTCTTTCATCACAGGTACTTAAAACCTACATAATAAGAGATTTCATTGGCATGACCTTAAATTTTCAAGTTTATTCATTAGCTGATCTAGGACGACTCTTCTCTTGGGTACTTGATTAAGGGTTTCAATTGTTACAGACCAATCTTGAGTTTCTCTATTTAGCAATTTTCTGATTTTGTTGACACATGTGGATCCTCCGATTGGGGATTCTCTGAGTCTGCAATTTTTATACTTACAGGTTTAGTTAAGAATTAGGATAAGTAAGTTTAAGGAAGGTCAACTTTGTTGCTTTGGATATCTTTTTCTCATTGATAGGAAAGTAATATGTTAATAAAAACAACTGCGAGGAAAGTTACAGCTTTAAGATAACTGCATGAATGCATTTTTCTGTAGATCTTTTTGCATATTTTCATAGGAATATCTCCCTCCATATTTTAATTAATATATTTGCTTCAGAAAACAAAGGAATTTGTTTTGTGGAACTTTGAGTAATGTGTCCACTGCTCTCATTGATTAGTTGAATGCTTGTTTCTGTAAACTCTGTAAAATATTAAATGCTTTTAACTGCAGCATGTTATCTTTAACATGTGCAGTGGTTTCCGCGGTATCTATGATGTTGAGCATTTTATCATGTCATTGAGGTATGATGTAAAAATTGTAGAAAAAATACCAGAAATTCGCAAAAATGGGAAGGCAAAGAAGATAAAAGCCGTACAGGTAAAGCATACGTATTTGTTTTGATCACATTCAGAAATAAAATTTGAGTTGTTCAATAGGTTTGAAATGTTTACTCCTTCCTCTAAACCTTGTCTCAGCTTCGTCCCCCTAGAGATGCTCCTATCAGTTGGTATACTACGGATGCTCTTGCGAAAATGAAGGAGCATGGTGCTATTTATCTTACTCCCTTTTCACATCGTTTGGCAGAAGAAATTGACAACCCTGAGTATCAACGGTTGAGGTGCAGAGTGAACTATCATGCTCTGAGATTTAAGACAAATATAATCAAGCTAAGTCAGTCAATAGTTGATAAGCTTCGCTCACAAGGTCACTTCATGTCCATACATCTTCGTTTTGAAATGGATATGCTGGCATTTGCTGGGTAAGTTCTTATCTAATTATCTTTTTTAAATTCACGTTTGCATCTGCCTGGTGGTGGAGGGTCAGATGTAGAACAAATGGTTGACATTGTTGCATATGGGGAAATATCTGCTTAAAAGACAAGAATGTGATAGGAGTGAAAAATCCAACCAAACCTCACACAGAGTCACATGTAGAAAGACACTTGTGTATACTTTGGGTTAAATTAAATCAAAGATTTGATGTGGAATAAGGAGAGAAATAAGGTAACTAGTGCTGTAGTTTCAAGCATAACTAATGCCGTGAGTGATGTAGGATGTAGATCAGTGTGATACTAATTGATGTAGAACAAGGAGAGAAATAAGGTAAAATAAAAACTCGGATAGTAATTTAGCACAACAGCTTGAACTTAATTTGTTAACTTTAGTATCAATTGGCCAAAACTAAGATTCCCAGCACAAGTGTGGCCTGCCTATACAGTCTCACTAATATGAGTTAATTTCTTGGTGAAATCCTTATATAAAATGAGGAATGACTGGACTGTTCTCCTTTATATCATGTCAAGAATTCTCCTATTTCATAGCCACTAGCTATGTAAGGGGTACAATCTGTTTGTTTCATGACTGGAATAGTTCATGATTAAGATTTTGAAAAGTAATGTTATCTGAGGACTTCTTAAAATCTGGTATGATTATTCTGCAGCTGTTTTGATATTTTCAACCCCAAAGAGCAAGAGATTTTGAAGAAGTATCGGAAAGAAAATTTTGCACCAAAGAAGCTTGTGTATGAGGAAAGAAGAGCCATTGGAAAATGCCCATTAATTCCAGAAGAGGTAACATTATCTGTCTTGTTAGTGTTTTTTTATTTGTCGTTGGAAAGTGTTGTTTTATACTGCCGGTGAATGGTGACATTACCCTGGATGGCTGTTACCTTGCATCAGTATCTTGTTATGTTTTGCTTACCAAGTGATAACACTCATTTCCTATATAAAACACTAACAAAGTTATGTCCCTCTTTCTATGCAGGTTGGTCTTATTTTACGTGCAATGGGGTTTAGCAATTCTACCAAGATATACCTAGCTGCTGGTGAACTATTTGGTGGAGAGAGATTCATGAAACCGTTCCGGGCTTTGTTCCCTCACCTTGAGAACCACAGTTCTGTAGATCCCACAGACGAGCTAGCAGAAAATACCCAGGGATTGTTAGGGTCTGCGGTGGACTACATGGTTTGCCTCCTCTCTGATATTTTTATGCCTACATATGATGGCCCTAGCAACTTTGCCAACAATCTCCTTGGACACCGCCTATATTATGGCTTCCGGACCACAATTAGACCCGATAGGAAAGCTCTTGCTCCAATCTTCGTGGATCTAGAGAAGGGATGGACAACGGGTTTTGACCACAATTAGACCCGATAGGAAAGCTCTTGCTCCAATCTTCGTTGATCTAGAGAAGGGACGGACAACGGGTTTTGAAGAAGCTTTTAGGCAAGCCATGCTCAATACTAACCTTGGTGGACCCCACAAGCGGATTCCGCCTGATTCTTTCTATACAAATTCTTGGCCCGAATGTTTCTGCCAAACATCTCCAAAGAATCTAGCACATAAATGTCCACCAGATAATGTTTTGGAAATTCTTAACAGCCAGTTGGGTGAAGCCACTGATGACCTGGAATCCGTGCCCCAATCAAATTCAACAATATATGTGGCAGAAAGATGAGAAAGTAGTCTCAGGATTTATAGTGGGTGATTGTTCCAAGCCAATACTGATGAATCCCTGTCTGTGTAATTGACAAGGTATGGCTTTCCATAATAATACTCTGCCTTCAGGTAATCATTATATCTGTACTTCTGTTGTGTTTAAATTATTATTATTATTTTTTAAATAAAGAAATTTCCTTGCATGTCCTCTTTCCCAAACAATCCCATATTGTTTGATTCGTCATTTGGATATTTATGGATATTTCGTGTTCCTCTTGATCATACAAGTTGATGGTTTTTCAGTGACTCTGTTCTTGTGGTGATTTAAGACAGGATCCATGTTGGTTATTGAAGGCAGGTTCATGTTATCTTGGGGTTCACGCTATGGTGATTCAGTATATCGAAAAAGAAGTTGACACTGCTGGAGGACGCATGAGCCAAGCCATGTTGATAGTTGCAGATTTGTCACGCTGTGATCTAAAAATTTACTTCTGATTAGTGATATTGTATTATATTTGATTGACTTCCTTGTATGTTTCTGCCATGTCACATGTGTGACTAATCATATAAGATTTTCAGTCTTACCTTACAAAAATGCTACATTAAAAGTTAAATTACTAGGTAAGCTCATTCCGGTTTTGATCCATTTTGAAAAGCTCTAGCTTTGACTTTTGAGTGAACTCGTAAATGAACTGTAGTTTCGTTACATACATTTGATGTGCGATTCGAATCAAGGATTGGGAAAAAATAAAAATAGATTAGCAGACCCTAGCCTCCAGTTTACCCTGTGTCTTCTGCAATATCAACATATATTTTGCTTCATTTTATTCTTCCCCAGAAGATCATTCTTGTTATTGAAAACATATATTTGCTATTGTTGCTGCCTGTTTGCTTCTCTGTGGTTTGTGTTCCTTTGGGCGTACTTTTGGCGCTTTGTTGCTAACTCTTGTCTGGCCTCTCTTTTGGGTGGTTGTTGCTTTTAGGCCAGCTGGTCTTGTCAGTGGTTCTAATGCTGCCTGTTTTAGTTTTGTTGCTTTTCTTCTTGGATTTTATTTCTGCTTCTTATCGTTCAGCTCCCTTGTCCTGAGCCTATTCTCTTCTCTTTGTTTTGTTTTGGTCGGGGCCTAGGTGTTGGTGTATTATTATTGCCTTTTCTCAATATTTTGACATAATCCAAAACATAAGCTTTGTAAAACCTCAGTAAATAAATACTTATTTTTTGAGTGTTCCGGGTATTCACGTATTAAAATATGAGAACGAAATTCATGTCATGCACATAGGATATCCGAAAAATTACTCCAGAATACCCTTCCCCGGTTCAAATTCAATTCCTCGTAACAGGAGGAAAGATGGTACATTAATACTTAAATAGGCTCGTCTGCAAATACATTTGAAAATTGCCCAGCTGTTGAAGCTGTGCTGTCCATTTCTGTAAGAACGTAAAGTATTAGTAATGAACTAGCATGATCTTCGTTTTCTTCTATTTTCCTTTCTCTAATGAGATTCAGACAAGGCATCTCATGTTTTTATCAAATTCGTCTACTAGTTATTCTTATTCCCTTGTCCTCCCCAATATTCTTTTGTTCTACCCATTATCGATATAGCCACATCAGAATCAAAGTCCTACTAGCTTGACTACCAGTCGTGTCCAAGCCTAAAAATTCAATAGGTTGAAGGATTTATAGCCATATGAACAAATAAACAATGTGCAAAGTACAAACAGGGCCAAACTAAAACGAATTATATAAAATAATTAAAGAACTGCAATCCATTTGTCAAACCAACGAATCAACATGTATGACTAGTGTTCCGAAACAATAACCCTCAGTAAACAAATTCACCATTCCAGAATTGGTGGGAAAGAGAAATAAATAAAAGATGAAGTCTATTCTATCAAAGATAATCAATTCAAGGCATTAGTAGTTGTTACTCTAAGAGCATATACATCCGGTCATTTACAAACATGGACATTCGAATCACGAAATGGAGAAAAAAGAAAAAGGAATGACAGTGTAAGGTAAATTAGCCTGGGGATTGTACACGCAACTTGTTGGCAACGTACAGCAGATGTCTGATGTTTGTTGGAGGATAGTTCTGCAGTAGTTTGAGATTAGAGGTAAAATCACCTGCTAGTAAGCGCCTCCGAATGAGAATCAACATTGCACAGCATACTCGAAGAAGGGTTTCCTACAATTGTTAGTCAGCTACGTCGTTAGCCTAAATACAAACAAACAAAAGACAAAGCCAAAAGCAAACCCAAAAGTGCAGAGCACTACTTTTCTGGACACAACAAAGGCTTACTTAGTCCTCAGAACCTCAAACCATAGGCAAAAAAATTCTATCTGATTAGTTTTAATATCTGAACTGAGTTGCATATTACCGACAATCTAAAGGGTGGTGTAACACACCCTGAAAGCAAAAGTAAAGTCAAGTCAGAAAGCGTATAACACTACCTGAGGACCTTCCGGGTCACTTAAAAGTGTGTCCCAAATGTGAAGGCTGTCTGCGAAATTGAATTCCTGGGTTAAGAGAAGGGTGATCCACCTAAATGCATAAAATTGGGGATTGACCTGACATTTTAAAGTAGAACCCAGTCAGACATTTATACCAAGTATTTTTGTGACCTAAATAGTATTTTAAAAAGAATTAGCAAATCATGAATGCTAAGCTAACGAGAACTGCATGTAGAGATGTAAAATATACAGTGGTTAGCACAGGCAGGTTCCTGTTGTGCCCCTGCCTGCCTCAATTGGGCTTGTGTTGTACTAGGCCACATGTCCATTGAGTTTTCTGTTTATTTATTTTTAAGGTCAGATTGAGTTAAAATTGGGGCACATCAGAAAATTTGGTCATTACAGTTTGCAAAAGCCAAACTTGAAGTCTAGTCTAGTGTGAATTTTTAAAGATCTAGTGTGTGCTACAGTGCTCCTCACATAATGCTCTATCTCTCTTGTCATAATGTTACTTTTATCTTCATTTGATTTATGATCTACACTTCTTTTGTCTGAATTTATAGTTAACATTGTTATCATTATTCGGACAAAATTTGTTTCAGAATATGTTTAACCAGGTTCTTTTTACTCACCATCATCAAAACTCAGTTCAATATTATTTTACAGTTATTTTACTCAACCATCAGGTTGTAATATAAAAAAAGATATATGTTAAAAATGTCTTACTTTGGTTGTGATCTCAAGATGACGCCATAGCTCTTCATCATGTTCCTTCAAAAGCTGTGACAATTTTGTTATAGTGGAACGAATTCCCACAACACTATTATCAAGTTGCTGACAGAAATGATCCCGGAAGCCACTCAATAATTCAACAAAACAAAAGAATGTGTCTGCTTCAGCAGAGGCCTACAAAACTTGACATTAGGAAACAATGAGCAAAATTAACCAATAACAATAAATAAAATGGCAGTGAAGAAGTGTAATGCACAAAAAGCATAATGACAATAAACTGATTTATATCACTGTGTCCATTACTGTTATCCCTTTTCAAGAATTAACACAATTTCTTGTTCAAAGCCAACATCTAAATCAATCACTAAACATTTTATTTTGTTATAGATAAAACATAGGCAATGCTGAATAGTTTTCGTAACAAATTTCTCTCAATTCTTTTTTCAGGTGACTTAAATTGTACCACTTGTGAGTTGTGGTCAAGATTTGCCCCTTCTTTTTCTGCATGTTATGATTAACACCCCCTATTGGTCATAATTAAGCCTACACATCCTAAGAAGCATGATCATATGGTGATATTGACCAGAAGAACATGCAATTCAAATAAAGTTAAGGACAATCAGAAAGTCAACACCAGCTCCCTACTACAGCAGAGCACCTAAATTTTGAACCTCACATTCAGATAACATATAAGAACATCTTATGGTCCGAATACAAACATCAAAATCTGAAGACAGCTTCTAGATTAAATTTTTATAGAAAAAGTTGAAATAGAATACAAAAAATATATGGCATTCTTACCGCATCTTCCTCATTTGGATCAGTTTTGAATACATAGAACAGTGGTGCCAAAAGTTCGTTCATCCCTTGAACATATCTTATACCGGGATTTAGCTTGGCAAATACAATCAGGATGTTCTTCAAAGCATCCTGAAATTGTTATATACATTTAAGTCAGCCAAATTTCTAGTATTTGGCAAATCTTACAGATTGCTTGTACCATAGTTTGAACCAAGGATCAAGCGCAAACCTGATTGGATTTAGCATCTGAAGAGTCCCCAGAGAAAAAGTGCAAGTCTGGATGAGTACGCTTTACATCTCGGTCAATCTGCTCTATGATCTCTGTGTCCTACATGATCAAAAGTTTGAGTTAGATATTTCATAAGAAGGTTTTGCGCCAGAAACTGCTACCACCATTCTATAATGATACAACAGGACAAGGAACTAATATTTTCAAAGGGGAGAATTCTTCTTTCTAAGAGTGAAGATGTTGTATTGCATCACAACTGTGTCTTGTGTTTATCTGGCTGAAGGAGTGTTCCAGAGCAACAAAGTAAATAAAAAATCACAGTACATCGGAACTAATTAGGTAAGGCATGACTTTTAAGGATGCATTGCGAAATATGATCTTTGATAAATTCCAGTGGTAAAAGAAGAGTTGGTGTTGAAGAGCAAAGTAGTTTGAAACAGGATTTATTTAGTTTATGGGGGTCCACTTTTTATTTTATTTTTTTCTCTTTAAAAAAATCTTAGTTGAGTTAAGGAAGAATTTAACAAAGCATCAACTATGGGCCTTAAATAAGTTAAGCAAGTAATTTCACCCAGCAATTACCTGGAAGAACTGATTCCAGACGCTGGACTGCCCAAGACTCAATGGATGCTCGCCATGAGTTATTTCTGATCTTGATAGCAACCCTTTGCTTTGACCTTTTGATTCATCAGTGTCACAATTTGTACAGTTATCCATCTTCCTTGTGATTTCTGACTGACTAGCCAAAGGAAACATTCAGAAACTCATACTTTAACAGAAGTTAAGAAATGCAAAAATGCACGAATCACATAAGCATATTGTGCCAACCTTTCATTTTTCACTTTATCTTAACTTTTCATTTAAACCCTATGAAGCTGGCTAAAGCTGTCGACCAACATGCAATATGAAACACTACAAGGAGAAGTGAAGATAACTGCATCGCTAAACTGGATGAAAAGGCTGGAACATCTACTGAAAAATTTTGTGGGTTACCCTCCGCTCAATTTTCAGGAATAAAAATTAATGAGCTATTCTTTCCTATACAAAATGTCTGCTAACACTCTTTGCACTATCAGCATTACCAGCCGATCATTCAATGGCATCAATTTATTTGCTCTTCAAAATCTCCATAGATTTGAACAATTGTGACTAAAACTTGTAGCAAATTTTGAGAACAGCGTTAGCCCATTAAAGAAAATAGTTAGCAGAAGTCCTTCAAATCAAAACAAACTGTGCTGTTCTTATACCCTGTATAATTAGTCTAGTTTTTTCAGTTTCATCTTCAAATCCCAAACATGAACATAAAAATGGAAAGAGAAAACAGTAAACATGACTTACAGGATTCATCAAAAGCTCATCTTTAAAATGCTTGTACTGTGACCTCTTTTTAGCTAACTCAGATGACCAAAGCCCCCGATCTGGTGGTAGATATCCAAGTAAAAGCTGCAAGCAATAATTATCGACGCTTAAAATTAAACCAAGTCCCTCGAATGCAACAAGAAAACTCAAAATTGCACACTTTATTCACACTGTCAAGCTCTATTGGCTAGTCCAGTAACTTTTGAGGTCCTCAAATTATCATTCTATCCATAATAAGCTAAAACTATTACCGCATTTTCTCTAGAAACAAACACAACATTAACACAAAATGAAATCAAATACAAAAACGAATCATGATCACCTTCCACACAGTAGAACGTATGCCGGCACCATCTGGTATGCCCTGGGAAGCAATTCTCCGCAATTCGCGCAAATTAATCGTCTTTCTCGATAGCTACAAACACAAAATTAAAAAAATTAAAAAAAAACACCAGCATTCAACATCTCTACATGCAGAGAGAGAGAGAGAGAGAGAGAAAGAAAAGCTAACCTCGACCAAGAGCTGAGCCTGTCTGGAGATGTCTTCGGGGGAAGGAGTGGTGTTGTTCTTGTCTTCGTGATCGGGGAGTGAATCTGTGGATTGGGGCTGCGGAGGAGGCTTGTCTTCCCTGGTGGGTTTGGGAGGGGGCACAGGGATTGGTGGGTCAACCATGGACGGTGGCTCGTAGTCAGAGGTAGAAGAAGAACTGGTGATTGTGGTGGTGGCGGTGGGCTTGGAGGTGTAGGGTTGAACGCGATCCTCGTCGAGAGAAGGAGAAGGCGTGGAAGACCAGAGCGAGCTGTTGAGCCATTCTGGGACTCGTTTCTTCACCATTTGAGGTGAGTGAAACATGAAATTCTAGAAATCGATTGAATCTCTGGGGTTCCTGTGTGTTTCTTAGCTGACGCAGTTTCTTCCTCTTCTTCTTCTTCTTTCTTAATTTCTCGCCACGAGTCTCCGAGGAAGACAGGCTTGACAGAGACGGTGAGAGAGAGATAGAGAGATATTGATTGAGCTGAGGTGTGTGCTTTGACTTCTTGACAGACCAATCGTAAGATGCCGCGTTGCTGCCGCTAGTTTTCATTACATGTTTTGTTGAGTTGAGTGTTTTTTTTTAAATTTTTTATCCTTAATTATAAACTTAATTAAACTAAGAGTATGATTGCAACTTTCTTAAATACATGTGTGACGTGTCTAAGTTAAAATTAGCAAAACTATACGGACCAAAAGTATAATTCATGTTAACTACTTGATGTGATTAACACACTTAAGAATGTTGTTGAAGAATTTTATTTCTAATGTGATGATTAAACTCTAATTATAGATCACCATTTGGTTTAATGACATTAATCTCCACTCCGTTTGTTGAATGCCTGCATTTTTAAAATATATAAAAAAAAAACTATTCATCTAGTTTGGCTTAACCAAGTTGGCTAGAGCGATTGTGCTCCCCGCTTTGCACTTGAGTTCGAATCCCCTCCATATAGTTTAGATTAAATTAAAGTAGAATATCATTTGTATATATAAAAAAAAACTCTAAATATTAGATTGGTAAGAACATGTTTGATAACATTATTGGGCTGGTTCTTTATTTCAATTTTTTTAATTTTTTTATAAAAGATGGGAGAGGAAGGTTTTCTACACACTGAGACCACATGATCAGCAAGTCAAAGATATTTTCTCTTGGCTAGCCCCTGTTATCTCTTTTTCAAATTTCAATTAAGAATACAAAAGGAAAATGAGAGTTTTGTTTTGTTGATGCGGAGAATAGAAATTACAAAGCAAAGCCTCTAGAAGACGGAGGCCAAAGATGTCAAAATAGAAAGGAGAGTTGATGATAAATGCAGGGGACCCAGATTCTTTCCTGAACTTACCTAAGCTTCTAACTTGACCATTGATAAACATCGAGCAATCACTATATAACTAGGCACGGTACGTATATTTAAAATGAGGCAATCAAAATGCGAGTGAAAAAGAAAATTCTATGAGTTATAAGTGCAGAAACAAAATGTAATTAGACGAACTAGAACAAGCTGCTAGCAGAGCCCATTAAACATGTGCACAATCCAAAGCGCTGATGATGTTAGTAAAGACAAAGACAAAACATAGGCATCCCTAAATGGCTTGTCTACCACCTTGTTACTTTTCCTTGTTTTCATCTTCCTTGTTTTAGGGATGGAAACTCTCCATGTTTCCCTCCATGTCTTGTGCATTGTTTGTAACTAATAATCACCTTGTA